TGTAAAAATTAGACATTGTAAAAGAGAAGGGAGTTTCTTCTGGTGTCACTGACTTTGATAAAGAGCAAAGGGGAAATCCAGTCAAAGCTCCTCTTCCTGTTGTTCATCACAAGTCTGTGACTGCTGGTAAGTATGCCAGAGCTCTGAAATTCTGTCTGGTTTAGCCTTGAGGGCGTTGTCACAATATTTAGAATCCATTAGAATCCACAGCACAGAAACAGGCCACTCACCCAACTGGTCTGTGCCGGTGTTTATGCTCCACATGAGCCCCTCCTGCCCTTCCTCAACTAAGCCTTTAAGCCTAACCTTCTATTCCTTTCTCCCTCAGGTACCTCTCGAGCTTTCCCTTAAATACATCTGTGCTATTTGCCTCAACAACTCCTTGTGGAGCATTGTTCCACATTCCCACTACTCTCTGTGTTAAGACATTTCTTCTAACTTCCCTATTTGATCTATTAGTGACTATTTTATATTGATGGCCCCTGGTTTGGGTTTCCCCCACAAGTGGAAACACCTTCCCTATGTCTACCCTTTAAGATCAAATGGAGAGTTTTGGAAACGTCTTCATTTCAGTTTCGATTTGAGATTCATTATTCCTCACGGGGAACTCCAGAAAAATGGCTTCCAAATTATTATAATAATAATAGTCTTTGAATTTGATACACAGCACCTTATCACATCTCAAAGTGCTTCACAGGAGATACTGTAATGTGCAGTGACTGTATTCTGTGGGCAAAATGCAGCAGCCAGTTTATCTTAGTGGTGTGGAACAGAGATTTTGATGCAGGTTGATGCTGTGATTATGATAGTGTTGATCAATTTGTGCACTTTTCATATCACATACTGAGTGTGAGAAAACTCTGCCAGAAATGCTCAAGTTTATTAAACAGAATCACTTAGTGGAATCAACATTTCCAATTGTGGCAGTTTCTCTTTGTTTGTTCATTTATTCATTTACCTGCCCCCCCAGGTCTCTCTGTACTTTCACCCCATTAAGATTGTATTACCAGACTATATTGCTTCCACTCATTCTTTCTACCAAAATGCATTACCTCTCATTTCTCCACATTGAAACTCATCTGCCGTGTGTCACCCATTGTACCATCTGTCTATGTCTTCCTGCAGTCGCTCCTGTCCTTCTCACTGTTTACCCCCTCCCTAACTTTGTGTCGTCCGCAAACTTGGAAATGGTACTTGCTATACCCAAGTCCAGATCATTTATGTATATTAAGAAGAGCAGTGGTCCTAATACCGATCCCTGGGGGACACCACTGTACACTTCCCTCCAGTCAGAAAAGCAGCCGTTCACCACAACTCTCTGCTTTCTGTCTCCCAGACAGTTCTGGATCCACTGCCACTGTCCCTTTTATACCGTGAACTTCTATCTTTCTTACAAGTCTTTCATGTGGCACTTTGTCAGATGCCTTTTGAAAGTCCATATAAACGACATCAACTGCACTACCTGTATCCACCCTCTCCGTTACCTCATCGAAAAATTCTATTAGATTTGTTAGACAAGATTTGCCTTTAACAAATCCATGCGGCTGTCCCTCATTAACCCATATTCTTCTAAGTGAAGATTTATTCTGTCCCGGATTATAGTCTCCAGGAGTTTCCCCACTACTGATGTTAGGCTGACTGGCCTGGAGTTCCCAGGTTTGTCCTTCTGTCCCTTTTTGTACAGGGAGTCCCATTGGCCACTCTCCAGTCCTCGGGCACCACTCCTGTGTCCAACAAAGATTGAAAAATTGTAGCCAAAGCCTCCGCTATTTGTACCGGTGCCTCCCATAGTAACCTCGGCTGCATCCCGTCCGGACCCGGGGACTTATCACCTTCAGCGCAGTCAACCTGTTCAGTACTTCTGTTTATACTTATCCTATCCATTTCCTCTGCCCTCTCAACAACAACAAAAACAAGATTTCATTCATGGAGCGCCTTTCACATTGGGAGGGTGTCCCAAGGCGCTGGACAGTTGGGTCGGGACCTGAGCAGGGGGGAGATGGTCAGGGTGAGGGGAGGGAGGGGATGGAGCAAGGGGGGGGAGGCGGGGTAAAGAGTCGAGAGGGGAGCTGAAGGCACGGTTGAAAAGAAAGGTCTTGAGACCGGCCTTGAAGGAGGAAAGGGAGGAAGCAAGGAAAAGGCACTGGGGGATGGAGTTCCAGGGCCTCCTCCGATACTGCGGCATTTGGTGCATCCACTTATTTTGTGAAGACAGATGCAAAGTACTCATTCAGCACATCAGCCATGGCCTCTGCCTCCACAATAAGATTTCCCCCTTGGTCCTTAATTGGTCCCACCCTACCTTTGACTAACCTTTTTTTCTTGATATATTTGTAAAATATTTTAGAATTCCCCTTAATGTTACCCTCTAACCTTTTTTCGTATAATCTCTTTGCCTCTTATTTCCTTTTTCAGTTCTCTTCTGTACTTCCTATATTCTATTTGGTTGTCTTCTGTGTCTTGGGTTTGACATTTGTCATACACCTCCTTTTTCTGTTTCCTTCCGGATACAATTACCTGTCACCCAGGGCGGTTTGGTTGCCCTACTTTCCCCTTTTGTGGGAATGTATTTGTTCTGTCCCCGAGCGATCTCATCCTTGAAGACTTCCCACTGCTCTTTAGTTGGTTTACCTGCCAATCTTTCTTTCCAGTCCACCTTGGCTCTGTCCCTTTTAACTCACTGAAATTTGCCCTCTTCCAGTTGAGTATCTTTTTTATTTACAAGGGTTTTCTGTTACTTAACCCAAATGGCACAATGATGGGAGTTCCTTTAATAATCCTTTCATTTGATATTGTGCGTTATCACAAGGTCAAGATGTTTCAAAGAGCTTCATAGAATATACTGTAAAGTGCAGTGACTGTGTATTTTGTTGGTGAAACACGGCAGCCAGTTATACACAGCAGTACCCCAACAAACAGCCATGGACTTTCCTTCCTTAAGGCCGATTTAATGATTGTTCGTTGGCAGCTCAGCATTGCTCTTGTTTATCCAATAAGAGATATCACAAGACAGAGGAACACAAAAGTCCCAAGTAAACCTATGGATCAAATCATTTTGTGGAGTCCTGCAGTGTAGTGTAGAGGATCTGGGTTTGGTTGCTGGGCAGGGCAGAATCTCAGGCAAGTTTCCTTACTCCGTCAAGTGAGAGGATCCAGGTTCGATTCCCAGAAGGGCGAAATGTTGGGCACGTTTCCTTATTCCACACACACACACGCGCCTCTGTTTACCAGCAGTAAGCAGGAACTGGTTGATAGTCGATTGGTGGATCTCTTTTCCGGGGTAATGATCCCTTAAAAAAATTAAAATAATAATTTGGTCACTCAATCCACGGCTGTTTGTGGGACACTGCTGTGCGCAATCGGTTGCCGCGTTTCACCCACAAAATACACAGTCAATTCACTTTACAGTGTATCCTGTGAAGCGGTTTGAGACGTCTCAAAGGCGTGATAAGGCGCTGTATAAATTGCGAGGATAATTAAGGCAAAAACAACAACTTGGATATATGGCGGGTAGTGTCTCGGGACACTTAATAGTGATGGAGCTTGACCCCGAGCCGGAGAGAGAGAGGAAGTGACTGGAGGCATGGTTGAAGAGGAAGGTCTTGAGGTGTGATCTGAAAATGGGGAAGGAGGGGCAAGGCTGAGGGATTAAGGCAGAGAGTTCCAGAGTCTCAGAGCGAACTGTCTGAAAGTGCAGCCACCGATCGTAGAGCAGAGTGGACGAGGGACATACAGGAGGCTGAGGCCAGTCGAGCGAAGGGGCCGAGTAGAGAAGTGGGATACAATAATAATAATAAACAATAATCCTTGCATTTGATACAGCGCCTTATCATGTTGTTCAGACGTCTCAAAACGCTTCAGAGAATATACTGTAAAGTGTAGTGACTGTGTACAAAACACAGCAGCCAATTGCACACAGCAGTGCCCACACACAGCCGTGGGGCGAGTGGGTAATATTATTTGGAGGATTGTTGTCCAGGACACCGGGAGAGAGAGAGAAACTCCCTTCTCTTTTCCAATAGCCCCGCGGGATCTTTACCGTCCACCTGAACAGGCAGACGGGACCTCGGGTTAACGTCTCCCCCCGAGTACGGCACCTCCCACAGTGCCCCCCCCCTCCCCCAGCGCTGTATTGGAGCATCAGCTTAGACTGTGTGATTCCAAGTCCTGACGTGGGGCTTGAACCCATAACTGGCTGCTGTGTTTGCCAACAATTACACTGTATGTTAAACTAAAAACCCTGTTATTGTCCAAGGTTTATTTTACATTTGTTCTTTTTTCTAACAGTAAGTTCAGTGATCTGCAGCTAAATTTTGGGCCGTCTGGGATTGTACCCTATGAAACCTGATGAGACTCTCCCTGTAAAAGATGCCTTCAGCCATTACACCCCAAAACTCTGGAGCCCTCTCCCTCAATTCCTCCGCCTTGCCTTCGGAGTCCTGTAGCTCAGTGGTTAGAGCACTCGCCTTGCGAGCGATAGACCTGAGTTCAATTCCAGGCAGAGGGCGAAACCTTGGGCAAGTTTCCTTACTCCACACAGAGCCTAATAATAATCCTCCAAAACCAAAAACAACAATAAATTGGTCATTTTCAATCCACGACTGTTTGTGGGACATTGTTGTGCGCAATTGGCTGCCGCGTTCGCCCACAAATATACAGTCAATTCACTTTACAGTGTGTTCTGTGAAGCGCTTTGGGACGTCCTCCCGACGTGAAAAGCGCTATATCAAATGCAAGGATTATTATAATTATTATTATTGCTCCCTCCCTCCCCACTTTCAAATCCCACCTAAGACCTTCCTTTATGATGGTGTTTATGGTCACCCCCCGTCCCCGGCTCGGGGTCAGACTCCACCACTGTCAAGCCCTCTGGGACGCTACCCCTCGCGAAGGGCACGGTGTAAATGCAAGTTGTTGTTGTTGAGACTCTCGTGAATGAGCCCCACCCCTGGAATTTCCCCGATTGGTTAAAACGAAAGAAAAACCAAAGGGCACCTTTTAACGGTAGAAACACCACTTCAGTGTTGCTGTCTCCTCTCATTTCCTCTCTTCTTGTTTCCTCTCGTCTCCTCTCCAAATGAACTGCTACTTACCCCAGACCATGGAATATTCCGGAGACTTCGACTGCCCCGTCTGCCTACAGATTTTGGAGATACCGATTGAAACCAAATGTGGTCATATGTGAGTAACGACAACAACAAAATTACATTTATATTGCGTCTTTTCTGTAGATAGGAACCCGGTTGTTAGTCGATTTGCGGATCGTTTTCTGGGACTAATAATCACTCCAATTTTTTTTAATAATAATAATATTAATGTGGTCACTCAATCCACGACTGTTTGTGGGACACTGCTGTGCACAATTGGCTGCTGAGTTTTGCCCGCAAATATGCAGACAATCCACTTTATGGTATATTCTGTGAAGCGCTTTGGGACGGCTCAATGATATGATAATGTGCTATATCAAATGCAAGGATTATTATTAATATTTATTATTATTATATAAGGATACCCCAAGTAGCTGTTGTGCTGGACAGATAAGGAACAGAGAGAGAGAGAGAGAGACACTGGGGTCACTTTCCTGCTTTGCATTCAGCCTCTGGTTGTCAGAGTAATAATAATAATCCTTGCATTTGATATAGCCCCTTATCACGCCATTGAGACGTCTCAAAACACTTCACAGGATATCCTGTAAAGTGAATTTACTGTATATTTTATGGACGAAACATGGCAGCCAATTGCACATAGCAGCGTCCCACAAACAGTCATGGATTGAGGGACCAAATTATTATTATTATCCGGCAATTTAGCAATCGACTAACAACCGGGTTCCTACTTACTGCTGGTAAGCAGAGGTGTGTGTGGAGTAAGGAAACTTGCCTGAGGTTTCGCTGTGTACCCGGGAATCAAACCCGGGTCCCCTCGTTTGCTAACAATACATTACAGGACTACACTGATGTTTTTGCTGCCAACATTAAGGTTTCACTGGAGTACAGAGGAGTGAGAGGAGAAGCATTCTGAATGATGAGAGGCTTTGATAAACTAAATAGGGAGGAGCTGTTTCCACAGGTTGGTGAATTGGCAATCGGGAAGTATTAAAAAATTTTAATTGATTACTCAATCCACGGCTGTTTGTGGGACGCTGCTGTGCGCAATTGGCTGCTGCGTTTTGCCCACAAAATATACAGTCAATTTACTTTACATTATAAACAAAATGCAAACTACTGCAGATGCTGGAAATCTGAAACAAAAACAGAAGTCGCTGGGAACCCTCAGCAGGTCAGGCAGCATCTATGGAGAAAGGAAAGTGAGTCAACGTTTCGGGCCACGACTCTTTGTCAGAACTTGGGTTTGTTTCACTTTACAATATAGCGCTTTGAGAGGTCTCTGAGACGTGATAAGGCACTGAATCAAATACACGGATTATTATTATAACATTTAAGATTCTTTATCAGAAGTGAGGGTGTGATTAAGAGATTTATTTTTAACCCAGGGTTGGGAAGGCCCCACCAAAATCCCCTGGTAGCAGCAGATTTCAGAATAGCTTTACAAGGCAATTGATAACCTTTGCATTTGCATAACCCCTCCTTCCCCATCTTCAGATCACGCCTGAACATCTTCCTCTTCAACCGCGCCTTTGGTCCCCTACCCCCTCCCACTGACTCCACATTGGGCTCCACCATTGTTAAGCACTCTGGGACACAGCCCAGCGTGAAGGACGCTATATCAATGAAAGTTGTTGTTGTTGTAGTTGTTGTTATAGGCGGCAAGGGAGGGAGCAAGATGAAGGGACTGGGGGATTGAGTTCCAAAAATACAGTAAATCTCAACTTTATTTTATAAATCTTAAAATCGATGTAAGTCGTACATCCACCCGGAGTCCCATTCAGTTTCCTATCAAAACCATTTAGATTTCTCCACACGACTCGTGTTAATCACCTCCTCACTGGTAACATGGCTCCTGCCCTCCATTACTCCACACTTACCGGTGCTTTGAATCACGGGAAACATAGTCTTAACCCATCACTGCTGTATTGAAAACTGTATGAATCGATAAAAACCTGCATTTGTGTAGAATAAAAATCATGTAGAATAATGCCTTGCAGCATGTCACAAAGGCAGAATGTCTCCTACTGTGGCTCATTCATCCTCAGGATCTCACACCCGTGACCCTATCACCCTCATCCTCCGCTGGCTCCCCACCCCCCAAAGAAAGTTCAAAATGCTCATCCTCACTGTTAAAGCCCTCCATGGCCTGGCGCCATCCTACCTCTGTGACCTGCTGACTCCATATCAACCTGTCCCCTCCCTCCACTCAACGGGCTCCATCCTGCTCCACCCCATCTTCAGCCTCTCTGCCCTCACCCCCTGACTGTCCAGTGCTTTGAGACTTGAGGTGAAAGGCGCTGTGTAAATGAAAATTAGTAGTTGTTGTTTGTTGGATAGCATTGTGCGCAAATTGGCTGCCCTCAAAATACACAGTCACTACGCTTCGCATTAAATCCTGTGAAGCCCCTCGAAGTGTCTTCCTGACGTGGAAGGTGGTATATCAAATTGTGGAGTCCTGTAGCCCGGTGGTTAGACCACTTGCCTCGCAAGCTGGAGACCCAGGTTTGATTCTCAGCAGGGCGAAACGTTGGACAAGTTTCCTTACTCCACACACCTCTGTTTACCGAGCAATAAATAGGAACCCAACTGTTGGTCGATTGGTGGATCACGTTTCCGGGGATAATAATTTCTCCAAAAAAAAATATAAATAATCATAATTTGGTCACTCAATCCATGACTGTTTGTGGGACGCTGCTGTGTGCAATTGGCTGCTGCATTTCATCCACAAAATATACAGTCAATTCACCTTACAGTATATACTGTGAAGCTCTTTGGGAGGTCTGGAAGACGTGATCAGGCGCTGTATCAAATGCAAGGATTATTATATGATTTTTATTATTGTATTTACAAAGTGGCAAAGGTCAGTTTCAGACTTGGACTGCCCTGGAGAAGATTGAAGTGCAAGGAGCAACGAGGAAACAATTGTAATAGCTTCACACGCACAGGGACACTTAATACGTGTGTTAGTTTGATGGTAGTGGGGGTGGGGGAGAGGTGTTTTGCCCTATGATATGCCAATCCAATATCAATGATCTCTTCAATTACATCCTTATAAAGGAAAATACCATTGATGTTGAACAGTTCAACATTGCACATTGCAGAACTTTGCTTTAATCTCAGATGCCACGTCATAAATTTAACAATTATGTTCAGAAGAGATAACCTAATTTTTCCATTTTGTGCGAGAGAGATATATATATTTTGTTAAAAGGGGCAACGTAATAATAATAATAATAATAATAATAATTCAGTGTTACAATCTGAAACACACTGCCTGAAAGGGTGGAAGCAGATTCAATAATAACTTTCCAAAGGGAATTGGATATATCCTCGAAAAGAAAAAAATTGCAAGGCTTTGGGGAAAGAGCGGGGGAGTGGGGACTAGTCAGTAACTCTTTCCAAAAGCCAGCACAGGCACGATGGGCCAAATGGCCTCCTTCTGTGCTGTAGGATTCTATGATTCTATAATAATAATGATAAGCCTTACATTTACTATAGCGCCTTTCACATCAGGATCGCTTCACAGAATATATTGTAAAGTGAGCTAACTGACTGGGTGAAATGTGGCAGCCAATTGCACACAGCAGTGCCCCACAAACAGCCATGGAGTGAGTGACCAATCTTATTGGGGGATTGTTGGCCAAGACACCGAGAGAGAGAGAGAAACTCCCTTCTCTTTTCTGTTTACCTAACAGCAAGTAGGAACCACATTGCCAGTCAATTGGTAGATCATTTTCTGGTGGTAATAAACCTTACAAAAGAAAAAAATGGGGTCACTCAATCCATGACTGTTTGTGGGACACTGATAATAATAATAATCCTTGCATTTGATATAGCACTTTTCATGTCTTCTCGACGTCTCCAAAGCGCTTCACAGAACACACTGTAAAGTGAATTGACTGTATATTTGTGGGCGAACGCGGCAGCCAATTGCGCACAGCAATGTCCCACAAACAGTCGTGGGTTGAAAATGACCAATTTATTATTGTTTTTGGTTTTGGAGGATTATTATTAGGATCTGTGTGGAGTAAGGAAACTTGCCCGAGGTTTCGTCCTGCCTGGAATTGAACTCAGGTCTCTCACTTGCAAAGCGAGTGCTCTAACCACTGAGCTACAGGACTCCCATCTGATGTGCACAATTGGCTGCCGCATTTTGCCCACAAAGTTAGTTCACTTTACAATATATTCTGTGAAGCGCTTTGAGATATCACAACGATGTGATAAGGCACTGTATCAAATGTAAGGATTATTATCATTTATAGGAATTTACAGCACGGAAGAAGGTATTTCCATCCATCGTTTGCATGCTGCTGCTTTTAAAGATCAACAACAACAAATTGCATTTGTATAGTGCCTTTCACATCATGAGGACATCCCAAGGCGTTGGACACTTGAGCGATATATTCTGTGAAGCGCTTTGAGGTGTCTGAACATTGTGATAAGGCGCTATATCAAATACAAAGATTATTATAATTATTATTATTATATTTTTTCTTCAGCTTTTGCCAAGCTTGCCATCAGAGAAATTTCCGCATAAACCGTAGCTGCCCTATTTGCCGTGGAGCCATTGATCTTGTGGAGAAACATGCCACTAGCCTGGACCAGCAGATGAGACAACAAGAGGGAAAGTGCAAGGGTTGTGATCAACAGGTTTGTCAAATGTCTCAAATGTTTAGCTGTGCTTTTGAATATCTTTATGCCCCCATCCCATCAATGCTCTTCAGCTATCCGTGCCTCTCCCCGAGCTCAGGCACCCAGCCAGCTTTGTAAAGTGCTTTGAGACGTCTTTCATCTATATAAATGTTAGCCCTGCAACCAGATAGGGTGGTCCTAGCGACAAGCAGTGGGAAAGCTGGCCAGCCAGCGCTCTCAATGAGAAGCTGTGTGGGTTTTGCTGGTTAGACTCCAGAAGTTACCCCAACAAACAGTCTGGGACCCCCCCAAGCATTGGCTCTTGCCAACCTGCGCCTAATACTCTCCGGAATTAGGTAACCAGGATGTGTCCCTCCAGGGAGAGATTCCACATTGTGCAGTGTTCCATAGGTTCACTACGGCAGATGAATTTCAATGTGGAGAAATGAGAGGTAATGCGTTTTGGTAGAATGAGGGGAGGCAATATAGGCGGTAATACAATCTTAAGGGGGTGAAGGAACAGAGAGACCTGGGGGTGCAGGTAACTGAATCCTTGAAGGTGGCAGGACAGGGAGATAAAGCTGTAGAAAGGGCATATGGTACACTGGGCTTTATAAATAGGGGCATAGAGTACAAGAGTCAGGAGGTGATGATTAACCTCTATAAAACACTGGTTAGGCCTCAGTTAGAATACTGCCCCAGTTCTGGGCACCGCACTATAGGAAGGATGTTAAGGCATTGGAAAGGGTACAGAGGAGATTTACGAGGATGGTACCAGGAATGAGGGACCGTGATGATGAGGAAAGGTTGGAGAGGTGAGGATTATTCTCATTGGAGCAGAGAAGGTTACGAGGACCTGATAGAGGTCTTCAAAATCATGAGGGGATTTGATAGGTTAGAAAGGGACAAACTGTTTCCACTGGTGGGAGTGTCGGTGACTCGAGGTCACAGATTCAAAATAGTCTCTAAAAGAAGCCGAGGAGAGGGGAGAAGACATGTTTTCACGCAGCGAGTTGTTTGAACCTGGAAGGCATTGCACGAAAGGGCGGTCGAGGCCGATCCGATAACTACTTTTAAAAACGCAGTGGACGGGTATTTGAGGAGGACGGGTTTGCAGGTTATGGGGAAAGGGCCGGGGAGTGGGATTGACATTAATTGCTCTGTTCAATGAGCTGCACAGACTCGATGGGCCGAATGGCCTCTTTTTGTGCTGTACAATTCTATGATTCTATGATTCTATGATATTCGTATTTTTGCTGAGAAACATCAAATAACCCCCTTTGTGTCCACAAAAGCATAGCATGTTAGAGCATAAACCATAGCATAAACAGAAACAGGTTATTCAGCTCATCAAATCAGCCCTGTCACTATTCACAGAGGTTCCCTGAGGAGAGAGTTCAAAATCCTTGTTCTCACTTTCAAAGCCCTCCATGGCCTCGCTCCTCCTGTGACCTGCTGACCCCACATAGACCTGTCCATGAAGGGATTGGAAGATGAGTGTGAGGATCTTGCACCCAAAATGCACATGGACCCGAATAACAGCTGTGTACTGTGTGTTTCTTCAGGTGTATTTCAGCAAAATGAGAGATCACATGAGAAACTGTGCCGAGTGCAAAGAGGAGGACATTCCATTACCTTCTCCTCAGTCAGACTGTCTCTCTGCCTCTGGGTAAGGCCATCTTGCTCTGCTACTGGAATAACCCTAAATAAAACATAGCTAGAAAGAAAGCGCATTCTCTCACTACATGGGATGTGAGTGGTAAACAGCAATGGCACAGGGCTGAATAGTGCAAACTAATTCATATATTCCAGGGTTTCCACAACATATCAGTTAGAGCCCTCGCCTCGCAAGCGAGAGGACCCGGATTCGATTCCCGGGCATCGGGAACCCAAGGCAAGTTTCCTTACTTAGTTTCCACACACACGCCTCTGTTTACCTAGCAGGAAGTAGGAACCCAGTTGTTAGTTGATTGGTGGATGGCTTTCTGGGGTTAATAATCCCTGACCCCCAAATAATGTCGTCACTCAATCCACGACTGTATATTCTGTGAAGCGTTTGAGATATCTCAACAGTGTGATAAGGCGCTATATCAGATGCAAGGATTATTAATATCTATTGTATTCAGGACAGCTAAGACAGATGTTGGGCTCTCTAATTAATTCTTCTTTCTTTGGGCTCCAAACAGGTCCACCTATATTTGTCCTTACTGCCAAGAGACAAACTTTGGGGAGGACAACTTATTGGATCACTGTATTAGATGTCATTTTAATGACTCTCTCCCTGTTGTAAGTACAGAGCTGCCGAATCATTTCGCTAACTGGAAACCCAGTGTCTTGAGTGTATCTTAGAAAATCATAAGGAAGATTGTGGAGAAAAGGAGATAACGATGTGAAGTGTTTTGAGACCTCCTGCCGACGTGAAAGACGCTATCAATGTATAGCAATTATATGCAACATCGCCCGGCTCAGCCACTGCTTCCCCCCTTCAGGCTGCTGACAACACCAACTCCACGCTTGTCAGCCTCCCCAACTCTTCCTGCCGCAAGCTGCAGATCATCCAGAACTCTGCAGCTCGTGTTCTCTCCCACACCAGGCTCCGTGACCCCATCACCCCCATCCTCGCCAGACTCCACTGGCTTCCCATCACACAGAGGATACAATTCAAAATCCTCATCCTCGCCTTCAAGGCCATCCCTGGCCTTGCCCCCCCCCCCCGACCTCTGTGATCTGCTGACCCCATAGCAACCTGTCCACTCCCTCCGCTCAGCAGGCTCCGGCCTGCTCCACATACCCCGACCAGCCCAGCCCCACCATCGGCGGTCAGTCTTTTAGCCTCTCTGCCCCACCCTTTGGATCTCCATCTCACAGTCCCTTCACTTCGCCCCCTCCCTTTCCTTCTTCAAGACCCTCCTCTGCAACCGCGCCTTCGGTCACTCCCTCGCCCCACCCTCCTTGCCCTCCACCCCTCCTAATCCCAACCCCCAGCTCGGATGCAAATCCCTGACTGTTGTAGGTAGGGAGGAGCACAATACAATCAGCTCACTGGTTAAGGTGTAATCCACTCATACAGAGAGTTGCACCTTTCAGTGCCTTGGGCTGTCCTCCTGACATGAAAGTCGTGATATATAACAGCAAATTGTTGTTGAAGTTGCACAGAGTAAGGCCTCAATTATAAGATTGATTTTTGTTGCATTTACTGAGGATGGTTCTGTTCCAACAAAGCTTTGCCTCCTCTCCGCAGGTCTGCCCTGTGTGTGTCTCCATGCCTTGGGGAGATCCAAATTATTTCAGCAGGAACTTTATTGGCCACCTGCACCTGAGACACCGGTTTTCATACGATTACTTTGTGGTAAGTGTTTGGTGTTCAGCTGATCGATGGGAAACTGTAGCAGCTTGGCTCAGTGGGCAGCACTTTCACCCCTGGGTCAGATAGCAAAGAGGCCATTCAACCCAACTAGTCTGTGCCAGTGTTGCTACTCCCCCTTCCTTAGAACTCCATCCCATTCTCCCTTCGCCTCGCTCCCTCCCTCGCCTCCTTGAAGGCCCATCTCAAGACCCTCCTCTTTCAGTCACCCTCCCGCCCTCCACTCCCCAAACCCAAATCCCAGCTCGGATCCAAGTCCCTGACTGTCCAGCCCCTTGGGACATCCTCCCGACGTGAAAGGCACATGTAATTTATTGTTGTTGTTGCATGATAGATGTTATATATAAAATGCAAGAATTGTTAACAAGTGTCTGGATTATTAACACGTGTTAAAGTGATTTAAGTGGCTGCATTTTGGGAGAATTGGCTAAAAAAGGTGTGAGGGTTAATAACAACTGCTGAAAGAAATTGGTTAATTATTGATTAATTACATCGTAAAGTGATTTTCATTCGAAACCTGTGTTTGTACATAATGCACCTCAGATCCCAAATGTGTCAACAATGCTGCAGATACTTCCATCTTTGCCAGGTGGTGCTACACCAGTTTTTTTCCCCCAACTGAGTGTCTGACACACGCGGAAACCCATCACCTGCTCAAGAGTCTCCAAACCCAACTGAGAATTCCCCACATCCCCCCTACACATGGAAATCCCAGAGAGAGATTGTCGGAATGGAATGCCCTCTCTCTCTCTCTCCCTGAAGGGAGGCATCCTGTTTACCTAATGACACAAAAAAATTGAGGTGTCAGCCTGGCTCAGTCAGTGTGGCTCTCACCTCTGAGTCAGAAGGTTGTGGGTTCAAGCCCCATGTCGGGGCTTTGAGTTCATGGTCTAGGCTGACAGGGCAGTGAGGCAGGAGCAACAACAACAACAATAAGATTTCATTTATAGAGCGCCTTTCACGTTGGGAGGACGTCCCAAGGAGCTGGACAGTTGGGTCAAGACCCGAGCATTGGGGGGAAATGGTCAGGGTGAGGGGAGGGAAGGGAGGGAGCGAGGAGAGGGGAAATGGTCAGGGTGAGGGGAGGGAAGGGAGGGAGCGAGGAGGGGGTAGAGAGTCGAGAGCGGAGCTGAAGGCACGGTCAAAGAGAAAGGTCTTGAGACCGGCCTTGAAGGAGGAAAGGGAGGAAGGAAGGCGAAGGCATTGGGGGATAGAGTTCCAGAGCCTCGGGGCTGAGAGGCTGAAGGCCACCGATGGTAGGGCGGTTGGGGTGGGGGATGTGGAGCAGACCGGAGCCAGAGGAACGGAGGGTACGGGCAGGTAGGTAGGGGGATAGTAGGTCAGAGAGGGAGGAGGGAGCGAGGCCGTGAATGGCCTTGTAGGTGAGGATGAGGATCTTGAATTCGATCCTCTGGGGGATGGGGAGCCAGTGGAGGCGAGCGAGGGTGAGGGTGAGGGCGAGGGTGAGGGTGAGGGCGAGGGTGGGAGTGATGTGGTGCGGGACAGTACACGAGCTGCAGAGTTCTGAATGACCTGCAGTGTGGAGGGAGGGCCGGGAAGGCCGGCGAGGAGAGAGTTCCCATAGTCCAGCCTTGAGGTGATAAAGGTGTGGACCAGAGTTTCAGCCGCGTGAGGGGTGAGGTAGTGCCGTAGTCTCTGGCGATGTTCCGGAGGTGATGGAAGGCGGTGCCGGTTGTGGTGCGGATATGAGAGAGAAAGGACAGCTCAGGGTCGAACAGAACCCCGAGGTTCCTGATGGCTTTGAGAGGTGGAGAGTGCGGCCTTTGATGCTGATGCTGTCAGCGCCTGAGGTGCGGAGGCGCTGACGTGAGCCAATCAGGAGGGCCTCAGTTTTGCGCACTGCATTGCCAGAGAAATCCTTTGGATGAGATTTTAAACTGTCTGTGTCTGTTCTGGTGGACAGTAAAGATCCCGCGGTTCTAATCGAAAAGAGAAGGGAGTCTCTCTCTGAACACCTCTGTTTACCAGAAGTCAGTAGGAACCCGGTTGCACTGCCTACCACCACCTCCACAACATTGCCAGACTCCGCCACTGCCTCACCCCTCAGGCCCCCAAACCCTCACCCACACATTCGTCACCTCAAGGCTCGATTACGGGAACTCCCTCCTCATCGGCCTTCCCAACTCTTCCCTTCACAACCTGCAGATCATCCACAACTCTGCAGCTCATGTACTCTCACGCACCAGACTCCGTGACCCATCACTCCCACCCTCGCCCGACCCCATCACTCCCACCCTCGCCCGACCCCATCACTCCCACCCTCGCCTGACTCCACTGGCTCCCCATCCCCCAGAGGATCGAGTTCAAGATCCTCATCCTCACCTTTAAGACCATCCATGGCTTTGCCCCCTCCTCCCTCTCTGACCTGCTGTCTCCCTACCAACCTGCCCACTCCCTGCGTTCATCGGGCTCCGGCTGCTCCATGTCTCCCGCTCGTACCGCCCTACCAACGGTGGCCGGGCTTTCAGCCTCTCTGCCCCCACACTCTGGAACTCCATCCCACGGTCCCTTCGCCTCGCTTCCTCCCTCGCCTTCTTCAAGGCCGATCTCAAGACCCTTCTCTTCGATCGTGCCTTTGGTCTCCCTCCCACCTCTCTGCCTTCCCTCACCCCTACCCCACCCTCCCCCATGCTCGGGCCCCGACACCTGACTGTTCAGCACTTTGGGATGTCCTCCCGACGTGAAAGGCGCTCTTCACATGTCATTTTGTTGTTGTTGTTGTTAGTCAATTGGCGGATCACTTTCCGGGGTAATAATCCCTCCCCCCAAAAAATAATGTGGTCACTCAATCCACTGCTGTTTGTAGGGACGCTGCGGTACACAATTGGCTGCCGCGATTCACACAGAAATTATAGTCAATTCACTTTCCAGTATATTCTGTGTAGAGCTTTGAGGCATCTCAACAATGTGATGAGGTCCTGTATCAAATGCAAGGATTATCGTTATTCTAATGCAACACAGCCCCTGGCACTGTGCTGGAATATCAACCTGGACTATATGAATTCAAGGTTCTAGCGTGAAGCTTAAACCCACACAACCTTCTGACTTGTCTCCCCTCTGGTTCTTTTGACCAGATTTAATTATCTTAAGTTTGTGTCCTCTGGTTACTGACCCACCCACCAGAGGAAACAGTTTCTCACTGTTTACTCTTATTAAACCCCCTCATCATTGTGAACACCTCTATTAAATCTACAGTTAGCCTTCTCTGCTGTTAGGAGAACAATCCCAGTCTCTCACGTCTCCACATAACTGAAGTCTCTGCTCGTCCCTCGCACCCTCTGCCCCTCCATCGGAGGTCGTGCTTTCAGCCACTATGCCCCGAAACTCTGGAACACTCTCCCTCCGTCCCTCTGCCTCGCCCCCTCTCTCCCCTCTTTCAAGTCCTTTCGACCATACAGACGGCTACCTCCCCCTCTCTCTCCCCCTCCCCCCAGCTCGGAGTCAGGCTCCATCACTGTTGAATGCTCTGAGACGCTGCCCTGCATGGAGGGCACTATATGAGTGCAAGTTGTTGTTGCTGTCCCTCATCCCAGTACCATTCTGGTAAATCTCCTCTGCACCCTCTCCAAGCCCTGGATATCCTTCCCAAAGTATCATGCCCAGAATTGGACAGAATTCTCCAGCTGAGGCCAAACCAGTGATTTTTTTTTTTCTCTTTTTTTCAGGATTATGAAGGAAACGAAGAAGTGATGTTTCAGCATGCCTTGCTGTCCTCGTACCAAGATTTTGAGGAAGTGGAAGAGGAAGAAGAGGAAGAAGAAGAAGATGATGATGGTGCTGCTCTGCAAATGGCTATCATGGCCTCGATGCAAAGCCAGTGACCTTTCCCTTGCATCAGCATCAAACAGGGAAACGGGTTGAGGAGAGTTGGGTTAATTAGACTGGGAAGCAATAAAGTAAAATCACTTTTAGACCCAGTGTCACAGAGCTGGGGATTTTATACCGAATCCCACAGTGACTGAGGGGGATTTTATACCCAATCCCCCAGTGACTGAGGGGGATTTTATAACCTATACCCAGTTCTGGACACCACACTATAGGAAGGACGTTAAGGCATTGGAAAGGGCGCAGAGGAGATTTACGAGGATGGGACCAGGAATGAGGGACCGTGATGATGAAAGGCTGGAGAGGCCGGGATTATTCTCATTGGAGCAGAGAAGGTTACGAGGACCTAATAGATGTCTTCAAAATCATGAGAGGATTTGATAACTACTTTTAAAAACGATGTGGACGGGTATTTGAGGAGGACGGGTTTGCAGGTTATGGGGAAAGGGCTGGGGAGTGGGATTGACATTAATTGCTCTATTCAAAGAGCCACACAGACTCGATGGGCTGAATGGCCTCTTTTTGTGCTGTACGATTCTATGATTCTAACTCCCTGGGTGAAAACATTTCTCCTAATCTTCCCTCTGTTTCTTTTAACAAGTATCTTAAATCCTCGGGTTACTGACCCACATGACAGTGGGAACAGTTTTCCGGTTCAACCTGTCAAATCCTCTCATGATCTTGAAAACCTCTATTAAATCCTCTCTGAATCTTCTCTGCTCTGGGGAGAATAATCCTAGTTTCTCTAACCTCTCCTCATAACTAAGGTCAGACAAGCAACCGTTTACTACCACTCTCTGCTTCCTGACTCCTCGCCAGTTCTGGATCCATGTTGCCACAGTCCCTTTAATACCGGGGGCTTCTATTTTGTTTGTAAGTCTCTTATGTGGCACTTTGTCAAATGCTTTTTGAAAATCCAGATGAACTATGTCTACTGCACTACCTTCATCCACCCTCAGTCACTTCATCAAAAACTATTAGGTACAATTATTATTGGTGAGCAAGGTAAGGCCCCCACCCCATTAACTGAATTAGACCCAATCGTGTTCCACTGGGGAACCCAGCCTGTTCCTGCACACAAGCCTCCAATCCCTTTATAGAGTTTCCTTGGTTGGTGGTTCGGTAACCAGAGGACACAGATTTAAGATAATTGCCAAAAGAACCAGAGAGAAGACGAGGAGACATTTCCAGATCGTAACAACCCAGAGAGTTGATATGGTCTGGAACGCATGGCCTGAAAGAAAGGGTGGTGGAGGCAGATTCAGTAACAACTTACAAAAGGGAATTGGATATGTACTTGAAAAAGCTATATTTTGCACATTTCTGTGGGGGTGGGACTAGTTGGGGTATGAACGGGGGAGTGGGACTGGTTGGAAGCTCTTTTCAAAGAGCCGGCACAGGTACAATGGGCCAAATGGCCTCGTTCTGTGCTGTAAGATTCTATGATTCTATGTTAAACTCCTCCCCACTCCCACCCCCGCCCACAAATCACTGCTATAAAATAATGTTATTTTGAAGCTTGTCAGAATGATACAAATATGTGAGAAATATTTTGTTTTGATCTTCTTTGTGAAATGATGGCTTTACTTTAAATGTTATCTTTTTTAAAAAACAAAACAAAAAACTGGAGTTTTATTGTGATCTCGCTTCATAACTGAAATCGTGAATATATGTTAACCCATGAAATAAAGAGAATTATTTTGATCAATGATTAGAAATGCTTATGATGATTAGAATCCATTTTGATTAAAAGTGATGATGCAACTAGAAAAATGTCAAGGTGACTTGTTTTTGTAGCTAAAGATTGTTGAAGATGTTTGTCCATAACAAACTCATGTTTTAATAAGTGTTGTGTTGAGGATAAGTTAGTTGAAGAGGTTTTCTTGTAACAAATTCATGTTTGTGTTAAAGATGCTTGCTATAACAATTCAGGTTTTATAACAATTCATGTTCCTCTACAATAATAACAATTCTGTAGATAGTATTTTATTTTTTTATGTGAGATAATTGCTTCATAGATGTGAGAAAGGAAAGATAGTTTATTCACATCCTGCCTGTGGAAAGTCGATTATAAAAGGTGTTTGGCCAAACTATACTTTGTTCAGCCTTCAACAGAGCATATCAGGCGCCGTCCACACAAGAGCCATCTTTTCTTGTGCCGATATGAAGTAGTGAAGCAAATGTGTTGTTTCGGGGTTAAAATCTGTCAGACTTGGACTGTTTCATCAACTGTCGTGAACTCCAGCACTTTCGGGAAGAAGGAAGTTGCACAAATTCCAGAACATCTGAAATCGATTGAAAGGTATCAGGAAGAGAAGAATAACAACTATTGAGAAGAATTAACAACATACAACAACTCGCGATTGGAGTGCACAGCTCAGCTGTCCATCAGCAACTTAGACTTTGTTGGGCAAGTTTCCTTACTCCACACACCTCTGTTTACCAGCAGTAACTAAGAAGCTGGTTGTCAGTCGCTTGGTGGATCGCTTTTCCTGGGGTAATAATTCACTTTACAGTATATTCTGTGAAGCGCTTTGAGACGTCTCGAAGACATGATGAGGCCCTATATCAAATGCAAGGATTATTATTATTATTTATAAAAGTAAGCTACTTTCAGCGAGTTTACCAGGTGCCTACTTACTGCTCGGTAAACAGAGGCGTGTGGAGTAAGGAAGCTTGCCTAAGGCTTTGAATGTAAGAATTCGAGAGATTGGAACATTTTTAAAAGTAAGAAACTTGCAATGAGTTTGCTTCTGAACAAATAATTGGTTTTCTGATCATTTTTGAAAAATATCACTTGTGCCCACAAACACCAAACTCTGAATAGTGAGTAAACCCCGTGAAAAAGGTCCTGATATCAGCCATGTTCTGCTTCCAGGTCAGACAGTTTGGGTGTTAAGGCCGACATTCACACAACCCCAGAGTGATCGAGAATAGCTGTTTGAAGAAATAAGTGGAAGGTTAGAAGAAACCTTTTCACACAACTCTTACCCCAACTAATCCCACTCCCCCACTCTTACCCCAACTAATCCCACTCCCCCACTCTTACCCCAACTATTCCCCACTCTTACCCCAACTAATCCCACTCCCCCACTCTTACCCCAACTAATCCCACTCCCCACTCTTACCCCAACTAGTCCCACTCCCCCACTCTTACCCCAACTAGTCCCACTCCGCCACTCTTACCCCAGTTAGTCTCACTCCCCCGCTCTTACCCCATACCCCTGCACATTTTTCCTTTTTAAGTGCCTATTTAATTCTCTTTTGAAAGTTGTTATCGAATCTGTTTCCACTACCCTTCTAGGCAGTGCATTCCAGACCGTAACAACTCTCTGTGTGTGTAAAAAAAATTCTCATCTCCCCTCTGATTCTTTTGACTATTATCTAAAATCTATGTGCCCTGTGCCCTGGTTACTGACCCATCTGGAAGTGGAAACAGTTTCTCCTTATCTACTCTATCAAAACCGCTCATCATTTTGAACACCTTTATTAAATCTCCCCTTAACCTTCTCTGCTCTAAGGAGAACAATCTCAGCTTCTTTAGTGTCTCCACATAACTATAGTCCCTCATCCCTGGTACTATCCTGGTACATAACTTTACATAAATCATACATGATATGACTTATGTAAAGTTTGCCATGACTCCTACTTAAGTCATATTACATTTTAGGTTCTCAACTGATGCGACTTATGTGATCTTACTGTATCGTTGATTATGTATGTATGTATGTGTGTGTGTGTGTGTGTGTGTGTGTGTGTATGTATGTATGTTTGGAAGAGCCAAAAGCACTGTGATTCCATAGCCCGACATCTTTCTTTTTAAGACTTGCCAGGGTGTAAGTGTTAACTGCTGAGCTGGTCCTGTTCAGTTTATGATTAAACCCTTGTGAGCAACTCAGATATGTTTTTAAGATTCCAAAGGCACTGGATAATGTCGACCAGAATAAGCTGTTTATCATGTACTGAACAGTAGAACCAGTGGACACGGCCTGTGATTGAAGGGGGTAAATTCAGAACAAATCTGGGGAAACATTACTTCAGTGAGAAAGCGAGTAGTAAAGGTCAAGCTCCCGAGGGAGACAGACAGACGGTGGAAACACAAAGTGTCGACTCTTTCTAAAACAAATTAGATAGATTTCTATTTGAAATAATATCTGGGGAAACAGTATATAGTTTGAGACGTGACATGGCCAAGTGACTGCCAGGATGGTGGAAGGCGAACAGGATGGACCTTGGTCTACTTTCGATTAGCAGTTCTTATGTTCAGGAGCTGAGTTCCTATTTAAAGTGATGAACCTTTGAATCATACAGGTATCGTTGATAATAGTATCTACACCATCAAAGCTTCACAGGGAATTGCGGGCATGTGTAGTGACTGGATAGTGGAGTAGTGTAGCTCAGTGGTTAGAGCACTCGCTTTGCAAGTGAGAGACCTGAGTTCAATTCCAAGCAGAGGGCGAAACCTTGGGCAAGTTTCCTTACTCCACACAGAGCCTAATAATAATCCTCCAATACCAAAAACAATAATAAATTGGTCATTTTCAATCCCTGACTGTTTGTGGGACATTGCTGTGCGCAATTGGCTGCCGCGTTCACCCACAAATATACAGTCAATTCACTTTACAGTATATTCTGTGAAGCGCTTTGAGATGTCGAGAAGACGTGAAAAGCGCTATATCAAATGCAAGGATTATTATTATTATTATTTGAAGGTAAATGCAGCAACCAATTTATTTTTACAAAACAACATAACAAATTACATTTTTATAGAGTCTTTCACATCAGGAGGACATCCCAAGGTGCTGGATAGTCAAGGATTTGGACCCGTGCTGGGGGTTGGGATCAGAAGGGATGGAGGGCAGGGAGGGTGGGGTAAGAGGGTGACCGAAGGCACGGTCAAAGAGGAGGGTCTTGAGATGTGCCTTGAAGGAGGCGAGGGAGGGGGCGATAAGGGTGGACTGTGGGATGGAGTTCCAAAGGGTGGGGGCAGAGAGGCTGAAGGCCTGACCGCCGATGGTGGGGCGTTCCGGGTGAGGAACGTGGAACAGGCTGGAACCTGCTGAGCGGAGGGAACGGACTGGTTGGTATGGGTTTAGCAGGTCACAGAGGTGGGGAGGAGCGAGGCCGTGGAGAGCTCCAAACAGGAGGCCGGTGCCAGCCGAGCGGAGGCATCGGGTGACGGAGTGGAGTGGAGCAGTGTAGCGCACAGGTCAGAACTGTTAAACCACTGAAGCAGTAAACTTT